CAGGGCATTGTGAGGCAGTCCATGTGAGAAGCAAGGCATTGTGGGACAGTGCACAAGAGAAGCAGGGCATTGTGGGATGGTGTACATGAGATGCAAAGCATTGTGAGTCTGCTTCAGAGAAGCAGGGCATTGTGGGATGGGGTAAATCTCAATATGCATACTTGACCGTACTTGTGTTCTTGTGTACCCATTTTATGTCGTCTTCCATTGCCGAAGACCAGATCCAATACTAAGAACACAAGATCAAGGAATGGTAACAATCACCAGTCCAAATATCACGGAAGCATTGGTTGCAGCCTCGCCAATGTGAACAATCCCATGATTCATTGCATGCTATTACAGAGGAAGGAGGAAGAAGACTCAAACCATAACTGTACTGCCTTAATCGGAGATATGTTTCTATCTAGGATTTGCTATTTTTCACTTTTTAGGCTCATAAAACGGCTGAACTGGTATGGGTAACACCCCCGTATAGCGTTTGTACAGAAATAAATATGAATATTTTAAGTGCAAACTTTATTTGAGGAAAAAAGCACGTGAAATCATACCAGGAATAGTCATTTATACTGAACATTTCGATTATCTGTCATTTATTATATACCACGATAGATACTAAGAAAATTACAGCTGGGGTAATCTGCTGGGCATACAGCGTAGTGGAGTACACAAGTATACATCTGTCTCAGTCCACTATTGGTGCATTCTTTGTCCTCGTGCTCTTGAGAGATCGTTCTGGGAAGGCAACGTAGCAAGACCAGTCTTGCCAAGGCCACAAGTACAATCTTTGCGTTCTTGGTATTCAGATTCACCCATGATGTACATGAGATGCAAAGCATTGTGGGACAGTGCATAAGAGAAGCAGGGCATTGTGGGATGGTGTTCATGCAATGCAAAGCATTGTGGGACAGGGCATAAAAGAAGCAGGGCATTGTGGGATGGTGTATTTCTAGTACCAAGAACACAAAGATCGTATTTGTGTTCTTGGTAAGAGCAGTCTTGCTAACATGCCTCCAAAGAACATACTTGAGATTCAATAAATTGCAGGATTGTTCTTGTTGGCAAGGATGCAACTTATACATCCTTGAAATCTGGGATGAGTGAAGAACAACATTCAGGGATTTTCCTCTCCATACTTCTGTTCCTAAGTATTGGAACTGTACTTTGGGAATGGAAGATAACATCAAACGGGCATGTGAGATCACAAGAACAAGTACATGTATTCATAAACACCCCTGGTGTATATGAGCATTGTAGAACAGTACATAAGAGAAGCATTGTAGGATACAATGCATTGTAGGATAGTGCATAATTAAAGAAGGGCATTGTGGGGCAAAACATCAAAGCTCTGGGACAGTGCACATAGGAAGCATGGAATTGTAACATGGTGCATGTGTCGGAAGCAGGAATGTTAGTGTCAGGATACGGCCAAGTGAATGATGTCGCATGTATACTCTGTAGACCTCTGTAGTCGTTAGACGCTTTTTACAGCAGCATCAGACACTGTAAGAATCATACAGCAGATCCTGAGAGCATCTGTGTTTTGTCCTGCTGCAGTCTGGTACTGACTGTTTCCCTGTCTAGTGCCCTGTTTCCTGGGATAGGCTCCGGGCCCCCTGTGACCCTGCACTTAATGCACGGCGGGAAGCTGGCTGGACGGTGACTTTCTCATTGTTTGTTGTTACCTGGTGCCTCTTCCCAAGCTTAGGATGAGACTCCAAATAACTTCCCAGGTCTTATAATGGGCTGGGAGCACGAGCTCCCAGTCCAAAGGCTCCTGGGGTACAGGAAGTAGCCAGCTTGAAGGGTGGCCCTGCCTTCATCGGTTTAGCAAAAAGGAGGTGTCACAGTCTGCGGGGTATTAGAGAGGTAGTGGGCTGTCGCTGCTGACAATGAAGGTTCCTAACTTTGTTTCCTGTGATGGTGAACTGAAACACAACAGCAGTGTTCTGGTGGTGTCTGTCGATGATGTCGACTGTACGCAATCCTCATTCTACCCTGCGAAACGAGGGATGGTGTGGTTGTCCTGTGTTGGTGTAATGAGACCACAGCGATGGCCTAGTACTCATGGTGGTATAATTCCCACATTTAAATTATACAGCATTAGTATCGTGTTTGCCTAACCATCACACCATGATGGGGCCTAAAAGAATCTAATACATTTCCCCACTCTCTGAAAATCTCTGTTTCCCATATATCTGTCCTCAGGTCTTTCCCACGCCCACAGACCATAGCTGTCCGTCTTTGATGTTTATGGACTCATTATGTATCGAAATTGAACTCAGGAATCTTAACTGGTTTGTCTGCTTTGCCTTGTATTCACCTGTTTGTGCCTGAGTGTAACTGATAATGAACGTGGACACAAATACTGATCAGGTGTCCATAAATCCAAACCAAATGGTGGGAACTTGGTTTCTGTGGCTTAATCCTGTATTTCATTTTTTTTCATTTGTTATTATATGCAAACTTCAATGCTGTCTTTTTCCCTATAAATCTTTGGAACATAAGCTGCAACTAATTCCTCCGGCTATCTATGACTTAACTTGGTTGCCCAGTGATGAGCTTCGTGCATGTAAATGTCAGACAGGTGCCTGGGAATCCTGCTTTGTTTGGAATAATGGAGATACTTGTGGCTCAGTGGGAACCTGGCAGGTGCGGAGCTGAAGTCCACGGCGGACAGAAAGGCCTGAGTCGCACATTCCCGCAGTCCCTCTACAATCTCCGTGTAGGAGGAACTGAAACAGACATCGACCGCTGTGGCGGAAATCACAGTGAATCACCACATAACATATTTTCTCAGCGTGGCATCCGCGATGGTCAGTGGCTGACGTATCTGCCTCTTTCTCTTTAAATATCTTCTCTCCCTATTGCTTGCAAAGACATACAGCCCTTATATCAAAGGTCTCCTGGTTAACCACAAAGTCAACAACATCCATTCCTGTTTCCAACCAGAGTCCAACAATGTGACATTAGAAAACTTCGAAATCTTTTAATTTGGATCTGTTGCTTAAATGACCTTAAGTCTTGTGGTTTTGAAATTACCACATTTTACTGAATGGTCGTTTTTTTGTTACATTTTACTGAGTCATGTTGCAACAAAAAGGCAAAGAGATTGCAAAAGACCTTTTTTTCATATTATTGTTCTTTGCTAAATACATAGAGACATGTAACCACCACTAGCACAACCCCCCCCCCCCCCCCCCCCC